ACTTAGATCCTTTTGATTCTAACCCCTTCATATGTACGTATGCATGTGCGCAAGAACGTTATCAATAAATGATTTTGGAGTATGTACATATAAATGCATGGGGAATGCATTTGACTCCAAAATATTGGGGCATATTCATTGTCGAAATAAAGTCGACTCCAAAGTTAAAGTTTCTCAACTTAAGCTTGAGTCATGTAAAAGCGTAAACAGATGGCAGCGTTGATCCGGATCAACTCGGGAATTAACTGCAGTTGATCCGGATTAAGTCCGAGTTAGTCCGGATCAACGCTGCCGTCTGTTTAAGCTTTAAGAGAACTTCTGCGGTGAGAACAGAAGTGGCCTAGCACTTTATATATTCACGATAATTTAAAATAGATAAGTTAACAGCCCTTAATGCTTTATTAATCTAACTTTTTCTCTTTCATTGCATTTCCGACAATTTTAATTTCACACATACGTATTCAGTGCATCAACTAGTGCAACTTTTAATAAAAAATTAATTATGCCAATGCGCCACCGTGTTGCCAATTAGTGTATCAGCGCCAGTAGCACCACCCTCGGTATAAGCGTAATGGCGCAACGGCGAGCTGCGTTACTCAGCACTACTCCTCCACAGGAATTAGAAAAGTTATAACGAATAGCATAAAATGTCAAGTGAAGGCGAATATAAAAACGCGTGAACCATAAAAACGTATTGATGAAGTGGCTGCGTTAACTAGGGTGATACTATTTTCTGAATTTTACAAAGTGCATATTTCAAACCGAATTTTTCAATAAATTCCTGCCGAAAATTACAAAACTAGGTGTTAAAATTATGTGTAGACCCTATACTACAAGGCGCAACATCTTTCTGCAAGGATCCTCTCCTCTTTTCAAAAATATATATCATTTATTGTGTAAATAAATATTCAAGGGGGAGGATCATAACCATTAATCAGCAGAGCTTCCCTTTTTAAATATCAAATATATATGAGCCATTCTTTTTTAAGTCGGACATCCGATATGAAAAAGAATGTCTCATATATCTTTATATATATGCAAAACATTTGCTTTGATGAGGCATAATACCTCAACCCCTCATAAATGTAAAACTCACGGCGAATAGAGCAAAAGAAGTAAAAACAAAAGCAAAAATCTGCCGTCCCAGTGATGTCTATTATGGTTACTGGGTGTTTTATAAAAATGTCTTGTATCAAAGAACGTGAATCTATAAGAAGAGACAAGAGACAACACGTTATAATTGTAGCAAGTGTGAACATCAGGAGCGTGCCTTCTCTTTTCATCCAATCCAATAAAATAAACATACAAGCCTTAAAAATGTTTTTCAGTATTTTTTGGGGGAATATGACCCAGACCCCCACTATTTATTTTTATCTGAACAAAAGAACCTTATCGTATTTTCCTTTTAATCGTATTTTCATACAGGGAACTATTAGACCCCCCTCTATTCACCAAACCTGCGAAAAGTGCAAGTGTGTTTTGCAAATAACTCTTAATGAATTAAAAATGTTAATTTTCGGTCTCGAATTGTTATTATTCGCGGTTAAAAGCATCGATTGACAGCCCTCTTGAATTGTTTTGGTCAATTTCGGCCAAGATCCGCCGAAGTGCACTTCTACCTGCTTTCTTTTAATTTTCTTTTTCATTGCAGTGATCGCCGTATGTTTTAAGTTTGTTTTGCTAAACATTAGTGAAAAACGGGTTCTAAAAAATATTTGCAGATTAATTGATTCGTGATTGTTGGTTTTGCGTGCATTTGTTAAATGAACTGCTTTATGTGCGGTATAAATTTGGACTCTGTCCGTAGTATGTCCAATCATTTTCGACTGGTACATAATTTGGGTCAAAGGGATATATATAAATGTACTTTTGGAGGATATTTTAATACATTTTTCAGCTTCTTAAATTGTTTTGTACGTCATGTACGGCAAGAGCACATGTTTCAAGAGATTATTGAGCAAAAAGTAAACTCGTCCGAAACAAAAACAGGAACAACCTTTTTTGATTCTACCGTTCCAAGTACTTCTAGATGCTCGGCCACATATTCAGATACACCGATTATTCCAACACCAGACATTCCAAGAGAAATCGATTCTGTAATCGAGATTGATAATATGCTAGAATGTTTAAACGAGAAAATGTCTCAATCACAAGAACGTTTAATCGAAGAAAGATTTATTGGATCTGCTCTGAAACTTCACAGCAAGAATAATTTTACTCGAAAAGATGTAATAGAAATTCAAGACAGCATAATGAAAGACATAGTTAATCCAATAAAAAACTCCGTTAAACAGTTCATACAAAATAATTATGTTTCGAAATCTCCAGATAGTTTTGAAGAGCAATTACTGCTGAGCAAATTTATCGAATCCATATCATATCCATTTCGTAAATTTGAAAACGAATATCAGTTATTTAAGTGGCTTAATAAAAATGATTATGCACGTAATTTTGAGGAGTTTGTAATAAGCAGAGAGATTGCTGAAAAATGTTCACGGGGAGTTCTACTTTACGATGAAGTTGTTATCACCGGTGTACTTCTGCCTTTATATTTTCAATTTCGGAAGGCTTTGGAAAAAAGTGATCTGCTATTACAAATTTTAAAAGATGTAGAAAACATCCCAAAAACATTAGAAGAAAATAATAATTTTATTTGCGGTTCTTTGTGGAAACAAAAAAGTTTACCACTTCTTGAAAAAGGAAAAACTGTTTTGCCTTTATTTTTATATATAGATGATTCAGAAGTTAATCCTCTTGGTTCACATACTAGTTCAGTTACATTTATTTATTATTCATTTCCGGTGNTATTACAAATTTTAAAAGATGTAGAAAACATCCCAAAAACATTAGAAGAAAATAATAATTTTATTTGCGGTTCTTTGTGGAAACAAAAAAGTTTACCACTTCTTGAAAAAGGAAAAACTGTTTTGCCTTTATTTTTATATATAGATGATTCAGAAGTTAATCCTCTTGGTTCACATACTAGTTCAGTTACATTTATTTATTATTCATTTCCGGTGATGAGAAATTCTGAAATATATTTAGCAGCCACACTTCAGGGTCGTGATTATAAGCAATTCGGGAATTGGCTATGCCTTCGCAATTTAGTTCGAGACATAAAACACCTCGACGAAAACGGGGTTACTATTACAACCTCAGAAGGTGAAAAAACAGTGCATTTAATTTTAGGACTTATTCTAGGAGATAACTTGGGTTTAAACACTATCCTTGGTTTTACTCCTTCCTTCAATAGTAACTTTTTTTGTCGCTTCTGCAAAACTCATAAATCGTCGACTCATAAAATGCACAGTGAAGATCTAAATTTATATCGAAATCCTGTTGATTACAATGTAGATGTGCAGTTGGGTGACGTACATTCAACAGGAGTAAAAGAAGAGTGTATTTTTAATTCGATCACTTCATTTCATGTAACTTTTAACTTTGTTGACGTTATGCATGACATTTTTGAAGGAGTATGCCATTACGATATATGTCATATTATAAATCGCTTTATTTCCAGCAGTTATTTTTCATTAGAAACTCTTAATGAGAGAAAGCTCATGTTTAATTATGGTGAAATTGAAGTAGATCATATTTCCCCTGAAATTACTTTTGCTTTTAAAAATGACTGCGCGTGAAATGATGACGTTTGTACGCCTATTTTCGCTCATGGTTGGCGGCCTTGTTCCAGAAGACGGTCATGTATAGCTGTTTTTTTTGAATTTGCTCCAAATAGTTGATATTCTTCTTTTAACTGAGATTTCGAAGCCAGTGGCGGAAAGGCAAAAGTCACTTATAACGAAGCACCACAAAGACTATGTCAGGTTTTTTAATGACACGCTTAAACCGAAACACCACTTTATGGTGCATTATTTTTCTATAATATTGCAATCTGGTCCTCCCCGTTATTATTGGTCATTTCGATTTGAAGCAAAACATAAAGATGTCAAAGCATATGCTAGAAACATTACTAGTCGCAGAAATATATGTGTATCCATTTCAAAAAAATACCAACTAAAATTTGCGAAGTTTTTGCTTGACCCCGAGGATGGAATGTATTCCATTTCTCCAAGTCATCTTATCCTCATTCAGAATATGAAGAAATAATTTACAATTTCTGCGCTCGAAATAGGATCAATACAATTAGTTTTCGCTGCTATTCCCAATGTATTTATCGCTCTAAAAAATATAAAAAAGGTTGTTTCATTGTTCAATACGATGACAAAATTTGTGCTAAAAATGCTTTAGTTTATAAAATAAATGAAGTTGCTATTTTCACGGAGTGCGACTCAGTTTATTTTATTTGTCAGCGAATAAAAATACAACAATATAATAAACATTTCGCAGCATACGTTGTACATACTTCTGACATATTAAGTCAACGTGAGCTAATCGTTTTATCTGCTGAAATTATGTCTGGTCCACCAATAAATGCACATAAAACTACGCGTGGAAAAATGGTGATTCGTCCAACACAATTTTGCTAACGCCTAAAATACAAGCCCAAAATAATAACATAGTTTTAGTTCTAGGAAAGTTTTAGCAAGACAGTAAAACTTAATAGGGGTATTCTCGAAGTCTTGCACGATGCACGGATTGCACGAAATGCAAAAATACTATTCCAAATTTCGAAGAGTACGAGAGCACCTCATTGCAAAGTGGTAGCATGCATGGGTAGCAAGCAGCGAAATTATGTATCAAATACAATAACAAGAGACAGCCAAAAAATGGAGTGAGCGAGATGAGAGGATTGAGAGAAATATGTAGCAATTCCAACAACAAAACAACTAGCGACAAACAAAATGCGACCCTGATTTAACTTGCTATGCTTTTTTGCAAAATATATACATGGGCTTCGACTTTGCATATTTTGCAGCGATAGGAAATGTTATTTCCCATGTATTTTGTTGTTGTGTGTTTGCAAGTTATGCAATCCGTGCAATCCGTGCTACGTGCAATGGCTTTGCAAGATTTGGAGAATACCCCTAATGTCTGTCGCAATGTTTGTTTCGAGCGCAGCTTGCTCGTCTTCAAACTTCCTCAATTTTGATGAAATCACAAATGAAGCAAATTCTGAAGGGAGTTATGCAACACAAACTGTGAACGACTTGCACGCTTTAAGTTGCTCACCGAACATAATTCTAGATAAAACTGGACCGAATTACTCTTTTGGATTGGAAAGTCATTATGGTAGCAATGAAGATCGGATTGAATTAGCTAATCTTCTGTGCAGCTGGAATTTGGGACAACTATACGATTTATTCGTGCGTAAGTACCCATATAAATTAATTTTTCATTACATTTTTCACATTAGCACTCATCTTATTCTGTAAGTAGAGCAACAATTGTTTATAGGCATCCTAAAGCACTTATCAAAAACAATGGCTGAAAATCTTTTTGTAAACACTGGTGGTCGAGTGGAGTTTTTTTTTATCAATGGTCGCAATGGATCAAATCCTTTGAAAAGTCCACTACATCCCCATTTTTGGCGAACGAACATCTTCAGTGCGATAAATCTACCCAATCAAGTGAAGGGCGGGGAAACAATTTTGGTGTTATTTCACAAAGTTCAAAGGATATCAACAGTCAAGTTCTGGTGGCAAAGACATCAATCAATTTGATTGATATTAATAATTCAAATTCTTACGGAAAAAGCATGGTTGAAACATACAAAAAAGAGAAGGTCATGGATGATAACTTACGCAAGCTATTAGTTGAATCGGTTTTACAATATTGTATTATGAACAGCCACGATCTTTCCGTTACTGATTGCGCTTCTATTTCACTTCAAATTTGCGAAGTATTCCCTGGCGAGTTGGCGGTAAACAATTATTTTTACTTCATTTCAAAATTCACCTTCTGTATCTTAAAAACTTATCACAGAACGAACATTAAAATTAATTTTACCCTTTCAGTCATATTATTACCTTGAGCGAAAAAACGCAGCTCCGTTGGGCAAATTGTACAAAAAATTCAGGAATTGGAAAGTAAATTTCAATAGAAAGACAAAGACATCGAACGGTAATTTGAAAAAACAAAAGCAGAGGTCATTTTCAATAGCGGAAGATGAGGACGAACATATTAGAGCGTTGACGCATGACAAATTCCATGCAATAGCTTATCAGGAAAAAATCAGTCACTGGCGCGCGTGTTCTGCAACACGTATGAATAGCATACGAAATGCCGAGAATAATCCAAAACAGATCTTCGATCTTTGGCCACAATACAAATTGCCTGGTGGTTTTCATTTGGTAAGATTCAAGCTCATTCATATTTCTTCTCTGGTTCTCTTTCGGAACCAGAAATGAGGTCCTTGACAACCTCACTTCTTTTAGCAATTTGCTCTTGGATAACGTTTTTCCGAATCGCATCAAGGAGTTCAAAGATGATGCTAATATGTACTACAAAATAAAGAAAAACAAAGTCAATCTCTCAAAAGGTAAGCACACTCTTGGGGTATTCACTCCTGCCTGGCTATCTGGTTAAAATTTTGTATTTTGGTATTTGTTTTTGCAAACTGAGTAAAAAATATAACCACATAACCAGGAACGAAATATTTTAACCTCACTTGTTTTTGATTCTATTTACAAATGTTTTGCTCAACTTAGATTCCATTTGCCCCAACGCTTTTGTTCTTCTACAGTCACTGCTGCCACGCTCTCGACTCTGTAAGAAACTAGCACATAATAAGACTAATGCAAAAAAAGGCTTTATTCTATCAAAGAGTCACTAGACAGTTTTATGGTTGTTTGCGCAACTGAAACGGAATATAAACAAATGTATGATAGCAAAGTCCAGGCAGAATCGTCTATTGCCCCCTTCATATCATTAATTGGAACCCTAGATGAGCCACAATCATTCATGATTGACTTTGACAACATCACTTACAAAGTTTTCAACTTCGATAAAGCTGTGGATATATGCTTTAAAGCATACAATGTTTTTAATATGGCCTACGCTGAGCCATGCGCTGCAATGTGGGACTTCATAAATGATTTTTCACTGAAACTTGTCTCTAAGACGCTTTATAATTTTCTTTTATTTTGTAGTCGCAAAGGAAACAAACCTCGAAGAAGCTAAGAATCTGCCAAGTACCTCCACATAAAAATATAATGTATAAGAAAGTGTAAAACCATTAGTTTTTATCTTTTCATAATTTATATCTTTATTTGTTTAATAAGAATTTTGTTCGAGTTTCATATATTATATTTACAAAACTTTAAATTAAATGAATAACAATAAATTTAATTGATGAATGAAGTCAATTTAAATTAATGAAACTAGATTTAAATTAAAGTTTGCGGTAATAACACTATGCATCGATATACTTTATTGAATGAAGGCTAAGCAGTAAGAAAAATACGTAGTATAGAACCTATTCGTACGCATATTAATAAAATACTTAATTTTAAATTGCTTAAACTTATTACCTACGATAGTTATACTTGTAATATCTGCACTTCTTTCGTTAAGCTGAGATCCCACGATTGCCGCAATACACCAATTATTGCCTCATTTTATGCCCCAATCGTGTGATTTCACAATAAATTTACTCATGCGGCAATAGAGGCCGATATTGTGCTTACAATGCCCAATCAAATACAACTCACTTGCGGCAATCGTGTGATAGCTCAATTGGCAATCATGGGGCAATGAAAATTTCAAAATTGCGGCAATATTTATTGTGTTCTTGTGCGGCAATTGAAGTGAGCAATACACAACAATATTTAGGCTGTTTATTAATAATTTCCTTTTTTGCTTCCTTATGTGTCCAAAAATCACTGAAATCAATATCCTTGTTTTCGGAAGCAACATAACTTTTAATTTTATTTAATTTGTATTCAAATTATAATTTTTCTTGAAGTCCGATGACGGAATCTTTGCTGCGATATATACCACCACAAGCAAAACTCATACGAGAAGAATACGAAAGGTATTTTATGTCGCCAATTGGCGAACTGGCATGACAGTATAAATTTATTTAAAAAAAAACTTAAAAGTTCAATACAGCCCACGACGAAATGGTAGAACCTCAACATTTTGACCAGTTTTGACTATTTTTCTTCTATTTGTTTAGTGTTCATTATTTTTCTATAGAAGTATAGCTCATTGTGTAACAAAAACCGAATTGCAAGCTTTATACAAAAATTTTAAAAATTTCTTAAATTTTTTAACAAAATTGCACTGTTTTTAATCTCAATTTCTAGAGAAAAAAATTGTTATTCGGTTTTATAGCTCATTAAAGTTTAGTACAATAAGGTGCAAGTTTGAAGTTGCTAAAAAATCCTGTCGATTTTTTATAATTTTTTTAGCTGGCGGTATTATGCACTTTCTTCTATGCAAATTACTTTGTAAACTGCATAACAATTTTTTTTCTAGAAATCCAAATTAAAAACCATTGAATTGTTATCAAAATTTTAAGAAATGTTTCTAATTGTTGTTTAAAGTTTGAAATTTTTATTTATGTGGTTTTTACTAAACAACGAGCTATGGATTTATAGAAAAAATTAACATTAAACAAACAGAAGAAAAAAGTCAAGACTGATTAAAATGTTCAGGTGTTATCTTTTGTTGCGAGCTGTACATATAATTATAAAATTTCATTCCAAACATAAATTATATAAACTCACGGCTTTCATTTCAACATACATAATTATTTTGTACCAATTTTACTTGTAATTAATAAAAAAGCCAAAATTAAAAAGAAAACCAAAATTAAAAAGAAAACTCTTGTAACTTGAACTCCACATATATATGACGTTGTAGTTATCGTCGAGAAATAAAAAAAACTGTACACTCAAACTTCTAAATAAATGCGTCAGTTTTCATTGGACTCAAGTGTTTGCTTCTTTGCTTTCAAACAACAAATATGCATAAAATGAGCCCACAATATATAAATTAGAACAAAGAACAAAACAGAATTTAGAAGTCAGCGCAACATCTTATTGTCACGATTGCCGCATGCTAGAACAATCGTGTGATAAGTTTGGGGCAATTATTGTCACTATATTGCTTTTCACCAACTTGCGGCAATCAAAATTGTATAAAAAGAGGCAACCGTGTGACTGTACAGAATTTGATTGGGACAATTTTTTTATTGTGCTCCAATACAGCACAATAAAAATTGTTCCAGATTGGTGCATTTGCGGCAATCGTGTGATCTCAGCTTTACACTATAACCACCGTAGCTCAAATGATAACACAACACTTTCATCATATTTTAATCAATAATGTTAAGCGGTTTGCAAAACATTTTGTTAAACAAAAACACTTAAAATTTACTATAAAAATAGAATAAAAGTGTTGTGTTATAATTCGTACTATGTTTTTAACAGTGTAGAGAATTAAAACAATCGTACATTCTACGAAACAAGCGAAGATTTTACGACAAAAATTTCGTTAAATATAGGAATTATTTATGTACTTTTTACCAAATTTTCGAAAATACAAAGAAATAGTACGAAATTCTTTAGTAAATAGTACGAAATTCGTTAGTGAATAATACGAATGGATTCGTAAAATGTACTAAAGATCTGATGTCTCATATTTTCGTAGTATGTACGAAAACGGTTTTGCACAAATAACGAAAACATTCGTGGCTCAAAATGACGAAAAATTTCGTAAGATGTACGTAAGTTTTCGTTATATTTACGCAGAATTTATTTCCAGGGTAATAGGGTACTAACTGAATATGAATCACTACGACACATGCCCAGAATAAATTATAGCATTTCAGCAGACTCTTCCGATAACTTCTTTCTGCCTCACCACGCGGTCATAACAAAGTTCGCGTCGTCTTTAATGCCTCAAGTCCAACGGCTAACTGCACAAGTTTGAACGATATGCTTTTTCCAGTTCCAGTATTTCAAGCAGATCCTCCGATCATAATACTCCGCTGGAGGTTTTACAGATACCTTTTTAATAGTGACATCGAGAAGAAGTACCGACAAATTTGGGTGGATGAAAACCATAAAAAATATCAGCGGATAGTTTTCCGTACAAACCCGAACGAATCTGTAAGTCTATACGAATTAAAGACTGTTACTTTCGATGTAGAAAGCTCTTTCCCAATAGCAGCTAACATACTACGAAAGTGCATGTATGTGGATGACGTGCTAGCTGGAGGACATAGCATCGACTCTACCGTAAAAGCACGAAATGAAATCTCTGAAGTGCTACGGTCAGCCGGTTTTCCGCTAAGGAAATGGACATCAAACTCTGTGGTTATTCTAAAGGACATCCCAAAAACGGACCTACTCAGTGAAGACTTCTTGTCATTCGAAGATACCAGCACGGTTAAGACTCTTGGCATAAGGTAGAATGCCCATACGGATCTATTGTATTTTGTGGCAAGACCATTGGAGGACAACGATACACTCACAAAAAGGGCGATACTATCAGCTATCGCCAAGCTATTGGATCCGCTAGGATGGCTTGCGCCAATAATCGTCGAGGCCAAAATACTCATGCAAAGTATTTGGCTAGAAGGCACAGACTGGGACGAGACTGTGTCTTCTACTAGTTTGGAACGCTGGCAGATTTTAACCAAATATTACCACGAAATAGACAATATTAGAATACCTAGATGAGTATACTTCTCACCAGGAGACAGTGGCGTAGCCGGGGGGAGGGGGGTTAGATCTCCCCTCCGTCAGTGAAATGGAACTTTTTATTTTTGAATTTATAACGCAATACTGTTTTACCCTTCCGATTTATAATTTTCTTATTCCAGACGGATGACAAATTATCTTTCAATGAATATATAAAATTATCGGTTGGTAGATTATGTATTTGAACATTTGCGAAATACACTAGGCCATTTTGCTTAGTTTCCCACAGTGTTGGGAAATAATCTATAATCTATACAAAAACTGTACTTTTCGACTGTAAATTGTATCGACTTTTAAATTGGCTCATATGCATGCATGCATACATAGATTCCCTTCAAGACCAATGATTTGATGGTATTCACGGGACAGTTTATGTAGGTACATTTACATATTTTACACTTTTAACATAAATGTCAAGGCAGATATTTTAAGATACACTTCTTAACAAACAAATTTTTTTAAGTTATTATGAATGGATAAAAGAGACATCTTCTTTGAATTCAGCACTTAAACTTGACATTTCAAGTGCTTATCAAAACTTTATACACGTTAACTAGATTGGCCATTTATCTTAAAATTATATAATTTTAATTATTGGTTTATAAAAATGCAGTTTACACTTTAACAAAACCGTATAAATCCAAAGTTTAATCTTTGCGCAACATTAAAAAAATCATCGAACTTTCGTAAAGCTTTTCAATTAGATTTCCTAGAAATACATATTTTGAGTATGCAGTTTTGTAGCCCGATCAATACGTTCAGTGAAGCCGCCAAAGAGCACCTCACGCTGGCGGTGTTGAAAAAGGGGCATCCGGACGGCCACATCACCACGGACAACTGGAAGTCCGTCCTGATGGGTTTATGCAGGGTATACAAAGGGATACTGTAGAAGTACCCCGGTCCTGCACCAGTTGTCCGTGATGCCGGATGGCATCAAGGGCGAGTTAAGCTAGTAGCGTGCGCCGATGAGCGCGCGGTCCGGCTCTACAAAGAAGCTATCTCCACGGTTGGACAGCTGTGGCCCGGGGCAGACTTAGTTGCCGTCCATAGGGATAAAATCCCTAACAGGCCGCGAGCCTGGGCCTGGGTACCAGCTGAACCGTCAAAACCGGAGGAGGTACTCGAGTTTATCCGCATGGGCAACGAAGGATTGGAGGATAGTCCGAGTTGGCGGGACCAAGGGGAAGCAGCGTTTTGTTGGCTTTGTCATCAACGATGCTTCTGTCCCAGTTGTCGAGGGTTGTGGTGGGGTAATAAGCTACGGCTTTTACTCAATCACAGTAANAGGGGGAAACGGGCAACGCCTCGAGCGGACCCGCTCCCTCAGATATTCTTCCCGACGAAGGGGCCAACAAAACAGGC